ATTTATATATGTTTGATTATTTATTTATATATTTTACAGTACAAATCGAGATGATCACAATGTTCGGGTTTGTGCTATTAAATTTCTGTGCTTGCTGGATGGATCAAATACCTTGCATAAGACATTCATGGAAGACATTTTCATCAAACTACTTGATAAAGTAAACTTTTCTCTTGCTATACAAATGCAATGTTAGTACATTATGTTACTAAAATGCAGAGTATTTACAGTTGACAGGATGTATTTACAGTTGTTTGTGTAGTCTGTCAAGATTTGTCCAGTAATATGCTTTTCTGTCATGCAACCGAAAAAAAAGTTACTCCAGCTAAACAAAAATGGTGACAATTTTCAGATTTTTTTTTTTTAGTGTATTTTCTTACTTCATGGAACATTATCCGAAGTGCAACCATTTTTCCATTATGAATCTTCCTTTAGGCTGCATTTTGAAGCACCACATTTCACTTTAACAATTGCAGTCTACACACTAACTTTTGAATCAAGAAAGCTATTGTCTCCTTAGAAGACCTTTATAAATAGAATTAGTGGAGAAGGCTTGGTTCTCATTTTCATTTATATCATATCTGCTTATGCACTGGCATGAGTCAGTGGTAAATTACTGCAGCTACTATTAGAACATCACCCATGCATTCTGGTACTATAGAATTCTGCTTTTGTCTGAAGAACAAGAAATGTGGTCCTTCATTCCAGTTACTTACTGGAGAAGAAAGGATAATGCTTGTGTTGTAAGTTTGATAAAGTGGTAAAAGCAAGCTTTAAAAGTGATTTCCTTACTTGCTTAAATATGAAGCTTAAACATGTAAAAGTAAAGTGTGTTTACATTTTAATATTAATAGAGGACTTGGATCAAATTGTTTTCTTTTTTAAAAATTAAAATAGTTTTGGGTGTCATGTATTTTGAAGACCATAGGGAAGGAATCTAAGCTATATGAGAACATGAATTTAAAATCTTTTTGAAGCTTTATTTATCTAATTATTTTCTGTCATGTGAAACATCTTTATTGTGGAGTATCAATTTCTGTCTCAAAGCTAGAGCTATAGTTTCAAGCTGATCTGACTGATAACATGACTAAACCGTTTTTTTTAATGTAGGCACTAAAGTAGAAGTGTTTTTGTTTATATACTCATTTCTTCAATTAGGATCTTTAGTACTTGTATAGCTAAATGACAGATTAAGTGCTCATGCTCCGTTTTATGTAGTACTGTTTTAATTGTTCATGTACAGTAGGTGCTGTAAATTCTTAAGCTTCTGCTGTTTGAAGAGTCTTAACACTTTTTTTTTGGTGCTCCTAACTAAAAGTATTAGAGGAATTGTATGAGGCTTTTTTAACTTTCTGAACTTCTCATGGACGAGCTTCCAAATTCATTTCTGAATAAATTAAACTAATACATTTTTCCTAACTTTTGTATTTAATGCTGATACTAGCTATGCAGTAGGTGTTGCTTTCCCAGTACAGTATATTTCCATGTATTCAATTTTAAAGGAAGAATATGTAATAAACCTTTTAATTTGCTTTTAGGATGAAGAGGTATCCAGATCTAGAACACGCTATTATGCAAACTCTTTACAGCATAGAATTAAAAACCGAGTATGGCAGACACTCTTGATTCTTCTTCCGAAGCTTGACCAGGTATTGCTCTTCACCATGAATTCTTAAATAAATAAATATCTACTTTCAAGGATAATTCGGTGTCATGCAAACTTCTTATGTTAAATTACAGCAGAGTATAAAAGGCGTGCAATTTCTGTGGCTAACGTAGAAGTTTTGTGTAGTTTTGTTCTTTCAGACAGAATTCGTGGATTTGTGATGCATTTTTAGAGTTCACTTGAGAACTGGTTCTTGGACCTATGAAATAGAGGAGATTAGATCCTTCCTGTTAAAGCTAGCTAGAACTGTGCTGAATGACCGATTTAAAGGTTTTCATGTAGTAAAAACGTTGCTACTGTATGAACACTCAGAATATTGAGAAATCTTAGTTTCAACTTACATTTCTTCACACTAAAATAATTGAAAGTTATAATAAAGAAATGAGATGGTTCTAAGATGTTTTAATTTGAGTATTAAAATATTTCTAATATTATGATAAAGCTGAGGATGTTCTTTTATTTAGATTTTTTATTTCCCTTCATGGAAGTAACTAACAAGATACCAAATTACTCTGTGATATTCATTTATTTTTCTTTTTTTCTTCTTTTTTTTTTTTCCCCCCTCAGAATTTTTTGTGTGGAATCCTTGACAAAGTCTTTCAGGCTGGATTTAGTAACAATCAGGCATCTGTGAAATACTTCATAGAATGGATTGTTATCATGAGTCTGCATAGATACCCCCAATTCCTTAATAAATTCTGGGATTGCTTTTCCTATGTAAGTAAGAATTTTGGCATTCACTTGAAGAGTAATTCATACAAAGAGGCTACAGTTCATCACCCCGTATCTTATTTTCTATGTATTCCCATTTTCCTTTGTAAGCAGCAGGTTATTGAGCAAATCAAATTAACTTGGAAGTGGGTCTGAACTATAGTCTGAGATATTTAGAAATTAATGATTCAGAAGTAGCTGAAGACAAGTGAATTTTACCAGTTGTAATTGCTTGAGTACATTTTATACTACTCTGGGCAGAGTAAAGCTGGCGTAGTGAGTCGGAGTAATCTTTGCAGTTGCAACGTAAGAGCTGTCAGGAATGCATTGATGCCCTAGATTCTGAGTTTGGGAAGATACTGCGAAGTCACTTGTGGTTTCCACACCCAGCTTTTGTCTTCTGCGTCTGTTTGTCAGTGGAAACATGACTTGCATAACACATACTCAATCTGTGGCTTGTAATATGCACTTCTCTAACAGTGGAGTTCTGTAATGTGGTTCCAAAAGCTGGAGGCGGGGTTTGAATTATGGTACCCAAAAGTTGTAAAAGGGTTGACTCAGGAGAACTGACTTACTGCAGTTTCATTTTTATGTCTTGGATGATTAAGTAATTGCCTGTAAGAGTTAACCTATGGAAATATTAATTGTCTATATTGATATTCTCGAATTTGCTAGTATTGTGTAATTTGGGCTGAGTAGAAAATGTATGTACTTGCATCTCCTCCAGTGTATAGGAAGACATTACTTGCAGTTGTGCCTTTGCTGAAGCTCACCACTCAGTTAAATGCAGATGGCCTCTTGTTTATCAAATAGCTTAGTTTCTGCTGTAGTTTTTAAAAAAGCCAAAGAGTAGAACAAGAATTAAAGTTATATTAAACAACCTCTAACCAGGGAGGTTTTTAATACTTTGCTTGCTGTGGTTTTGTTCTGATTTGTCTATTTTATTTTTCCCCCTGACAGGGGAAAAAAATTCTTTCAGTTTACAATTTACACTTTTGCATATATATACATACATAAAGTGTACAGCTGCACAAAGATGCCTTGTCACGCCTATCTGAACTGATAAAATGTTGTAAGGAATGTAGCCTTTTCCTGTTACAGAGTTCCTTTCAAGAGCTCGTACAGTTGGAATTACTGTCATTTTAGTAGATGATGACCTATTGGATCAAAGCAATCTCGCACTGATAGCAAATGCAGTGAATCATGGTGGGCCCATTCAAACAGCAAGCAGAAAAGATGTAGATTTATGAAAAAGAAATACAGGTTGTATTTTCAGAGGTTGTCCTGGAAAACAGTGACTCTGGAAACGTTTTTCAGGATCATACTGAAAAGTAAGCTGAATTTGAGCACCCAGTGCAACGCTGCAGCAAAATGGATGAATAGGAAATATATCTGTAAAGAGAATGGTTGAACAGAAGTGTGGAAACTCGTTTCTTCCAGTACGGAATTTGGGTGAGGCAGCTGCTAGGCTGTTTTGTTCTACATTCAATACCCACATTTGTGATGACATGGAAGAGTGCAAGCACTAAGAAGAATTCCTGAGGTTTTTACCGGGTTTGGGGTTTTCAGAGTAGGGAATACAGTGAATTTGGGTTGAATTTTAGCTCATTTACACTGCTGTATACGTTGTTCTGAATAGTGTATTACTAAAAAGCAAAAGTAAAAATTAGTAAAAATGAAATCTGAACTTTGTATTTTAGTAAATTTTGCTGTGGAAACACGTGGGTTTTGTTAATAGTGTGGTATTATTGCATGTGCAGAACATGCTTTGAAAACTTTTAGGATATAATATGCATATTTCTTGTTACATTCTCTTTTGCTTTAGGATGAAGAAAAGCTTAAAACAAGCATCTGCACGTTTTTATCAGTGTTATCACACTTTGACATCATTCTTCAAAATACCCCTGAGAAGGTAAGTTTGACTAAAAGCGTTCATTCTTTTCCAGTTGCACTTAATATGGATTTCTGAAATAAAATCCATTATTGCAGTCTGTTTTCAAAACCTTTTTAATACCTACTTTCTACTAAGGTATGCTTTGATATGGCAAACACTGAACTTTACAATCGATGATGAGGTATGGTCAGATGTTACATTAGATCAACCACTTCACATCTGTAGCAATCCAGGCATTTCTATTATTTATTTATTCTTTTGATGTTTGCATACATTTGCAAGATCAGACCTAGAATATCAGGAGTAAATAGAGGTTTCTGTGTATGCAGAATAATAATTTTTAAAGCAAATTAGTGTTTTGAAAATGAACTATTAGGGCTGTATGTCTGTGTTCTAGTGAGAAGGAAGGAAGGAAGAAAATCAGGACCATGTTCTGAAGCCTGGTTTTTGATATCTATGTACTGTTAAAGCTTCTGACTTTCTGAAATGCTCTTTAGTGAGGAAGCCACTTTTTCTTGGGCCACTCTTCCTTTTCTACTTCTGAATAGTACATGTAGACTTAACATAAATGAAAGAATCATTGTTTTTTTTTGGTTTATTTTTGTTATTGTTTTTTTTTAGAAGCCAGCTTTGAAGAAAGCTCTCATAGTTGTTCTGCAGTGGTGTTTCAACCATAATTTCAGTGTTCGACTTTATGCGTTAGTTGCCCTTAAAAAAATTTGGGGCATGTGCAGAATGTTGCATGTGGAAGAATTTGAAGCTCTGACGCCAGTTATTGAATCTAGCCTTCAACAAGTGGAAAACATGCATGGTACAGGGTTAGTAACATTCATGTTGGTTACAGCCTAACATTATTCTTTTGAGCTATTTGCAGCCAGTCTGATTTTCTTAAGTAGCGCTTGATAATTTCTGTGGGAGTTTATGGGGGGTTTAACTCTGTTAAAATCATTAGCAAAGTAAATGAAGTCATAATTCAGTGTAGCATCACAGTCTGAAAGCACATGAGGAAAAACTGAAGGTGTGTTTGAACAGTGCTAATAGTTTAGAAATGGACTAAAAAAAAATAATCAGGAGTGCTTAATTTTCTTATATGGTGGGTTTTGAAGCAGTCAACTTCATTCTTCCAAACTTCCTGATACCAGTAAATTCTTAAATATAAAAATCCAAAATGTTTTTGGTGTTAATATTTGAGGGGAAAAAAAAACCAAAAAAAATTTCTGTGGAAGAAAGAAAAATAGATGGGGAAATTCATTTTGGATGATGATTAAATGGGCTCTGCAGAAATGCGTTTCTACCTACTGATTTGGAAATAGAGCAGTGACTTTAATTTTATACTCTGTACATCTTTATTTTTTTTAGCCCAGCTTTTAGAAGTTAATGAAAATTATTCAGAATTTCTGACAGTGGTGTTGTTAGCTAACATAAACTCTGCATTTTTTCACAGCTATAAGTTGTAACTAAACTCTAGGCTAGTATTCAGTTTCCTCCAGAGGCCTACCTAGATGCGATACTCTTTCTTGTGAAACTTGCTGCTTTTGATAATAGAATTTGGAAACATATTATGGGCCTTCCTTGAAACATAAATAAAACTTATTTCCTGAATGTTAGGGGTTTTGTTGTTTGTAAATGGGTTCTTACTTAGAGTGTTTTATTTCCCATACAGTACGTAATAAATACAATCAGGTTGACTTATTCCAGTTTCCTAATTAAAAAAAAGTAAATCCATTACATTGCCCTTTTGTGCATCTTGCATTACTTTCTGCAATTGCGGGAATGCTAGAAGGAACTGGCAGCGAATCCAGGATCACTTCTTCTTTGCAACATTTCATCCACTTAAGGATTACAGTCTAGAGGCAAGTCTGAAATTGTTGATGATCTTTGTATTTGTGTAGTTTTACAACTATGTTTTTATCCTTCTGTGTATGTTCTAATGTAGGATGAATAATGATCAACTATTATTCATGTAAAACTCTGAAAAACTACGTCACCTAAATTGTGATGGATTTTAGATTGACTGCAGCTTAATTCTCTAATACTGTGTTAATAAATGTAGGTCAGTTAAGAAGAGCTATGTGTGATGAATGTGCCCATCTGCGGGAGTTAATCAAGTTTTATATTTGTGACTAGAAAAGGTACTTCTAATAAATGAAGAGCATCTACTTAATCACGTGTAGTTTGTTAGGATTTTTAATACTTACGTTCTTAGAAGTAACTTTGTGGATGCTTAAAATTGATGTGAATGGGATACAAATCTGTAACTTCTAGAGCACCTTTTTCATCTGTCCTTTTTGCTATAGCTTAAATAACTGATGAATAAACACTAAGGAAAGGAAGGCAGGCAAAAATAGAGGTGCAGAGCAAAATAAGACATGGAGGAACTAAGCTGAAAATACAAGATAAACATGTTCCAGAGAATTAATTTTTTTCTTTAACTGTTTTATGTAACTTTTTTGTGAACGCTTAAATATGCTCGATATGACTTTGCAAAATTCAGAATGAAAATCCTGATTAAAAAACAAACAACAACAAAAAAACCAACCAAACAAACCCAGGATAATACTTGTTAAATATTTAAATTTATTCAAGGTGCATCTTCATCTTGAGGGTGTATTGGGGTAAACAAAATGTCTGGGTTTTAAACTGTTCATCTTAGCCTTTCCCTTGGGGTGTGTGTTTGTTATTCCTTGATAAATTGTGGTTAGCTCTATTGATAGTGCTTGGTTGGATTTCACTGCTACTGGATTTTTAATGCTTCTGGCTGTATTCCTTTTGACATTAAACAAAGACATGCTCTTACGAGCTTCTAGTAAAGAACATCTGAATACTCTTCAGTGTTACCGGTAAAACAGTTTCACAAGACCTCTGTGCTGAGAAGCATAGCGTTAATTCAAAGAAAACCAAGTATAAGATTGTAGAATGCTAAATCAGAATCGTGTGATAAAAGTACCAGAGATTAATTTATTATCTGTTTTGCTTGCTTTAGTGGTGCTCTGCTAATAACACTGTGTTACACTGCAGACAGTATTTTACATTCTTCCCCGCCTTTCGGAGCTTGCAGAAGATGAATGGATCTCACTCTCTAAATTCGACAGATTCACTGACATTCCTTTGCCACCAGCATTTCAGTGGTATCATTCTCGAACGGAACTTCGTGATCTGAAACCAAGTGACTGGTCTCAGCAAGACATGGGTAAAATACAGCTAATCTATATTAAATGTAATTATTTGTATGTAGTAGCCATATACATCTGTATTCAGTCTGATCTCTGTTTCTTAGCTGAAGTAGGCTTCTATGTATGTAAGGAGAGTATATACTATAAAATAATAGTAAATGACAATGGTGTCTACAGTATTACGACTTAGATAGTCTTTACTGAAGCGATAGTTTTGCTACCACTTGCATATCTGTATATGTACTAATTGTTTTTATAGGTTCAAGTTCATCTGAAACAGACAGCCAGACAGAATGGACTGATGTTCAGAAAAAGATTATACCCTGGAAAAACAGTACTCCTAGTTTAGACCTGGAAATGGTATTTCAGGACCGTGCTGCTAAACTTGGTAAATCAAACAGCAGACTGATTGTGGTGGCTTCACTTATTGATAAACCTACCAATTTAGGAGGTAAGGTTGATGACGCATCTTATTTTAGACATTAGAGCCCAGTTGGATAATAGGAATGAATTTCATCTTACGTTGATAATGAGAAAACTGTTTAAGTACTGCTCAGAGAAATAGATATTACTATCTTGGGGAGGGAGTAACCAAATGAAATGCTACCTGCTTCAGAAGAATGGGTCTTCTATAGTTTCATTTTAAGGGGTGGGAGGAATTATACCTAGCATGCATTAATTAAATAGAACTTTGCTGTAAGTCATGCTCAGTTTCTTACTGCTTTTAAATTCTTTGTTACAGTTGAGTTTTTCAACAGTGTATGTAGTTAAAGGAAATAATTTGCTTTTACATTTTTTTTCTGTAACAATTAAGCCAAATCTTGGAGACCTACTAGTTTCTCATGACATGGACAGGAAACTGCCTGTTCCTGATTAAGTGCTCTTCATAATGTCATGCAAGCTGTGATATAAATCCTGCAAATACTTTATTACTTTGTGCTTGCTGTTGTCAGCAGTTTAAATAACTGTAGTGAGACTGTTAATGAAAAATAAGCCCACAAGCTGGTGCTGCCTGTATTGTAACACTGTAATGTGTCATTCTTTCAATATAATGTGTCATTTGACAGGTTTGGGATTTATAGCTTAAAGCACTTGTGTGTGTGTCTGTGTCTATTCCTGTTGAGGCTTGTATGCTGACCCATTACTTTGTAGAAGCACATTGTCAGATATAATGCTTTTCTAATTTTTATCTTTCTGCTAAGTTACAAAACTTTTTTTCCACCCTAGTAAATTATCTGAACAAGGTGTGGCTTGGAAAAACTGATGTAAACCCGATTAAAAATAGAGGACTAAAGTAGCCATTTCTCTTGGATTCTTTTCCTTTTTCATTTGCTAAAATATTCTGGCTTTGTGTTTATTTGGTACACAGAAATCACTTTAATTCTCTGTTTGCAGGTTTATGTCGTACAAGTGAAATATTTGGGGCATCTGCACTAGTTGTGGGCAGTCTTCATTATATACAAGATAAGCAGTTTCAGCATCTTAGCGTTTCCGCAGAGCAGTGGCTCCCCCTTGTTGAGGTGAATGGAAATATTTTAGTAGCTCAAAAGTGTACTGTACATCTTCAGTTCATCAAATGTATAGTTCAGAGTCTTTTTTTTATCTGTTAAAAATGAACTTTTTATTTAACAGAAGCTCCCAGTGTTACCTCTGACACTTAGTCGTCAGTGTTTTGGTATAAAATTTGGTTCAACCTCATAAAAAATAGTTTATCACAGCAATAAGAAATTAATTATTTTTAAATTGATTGTGTGAGCTGTCATTGTTACATCTTACTCTATTTTTTATAGTGGTGAGTTGGAATTTAATGTTTATTCATAAATGTTGAACAATGCTTCATTTATCTTGCTTAGTCCATTGCTTTTGGTAACTTCATGGGCATGATCTGTGAGCTTCTCTGAAGCTAACTTGTGCCATGCTTTTAGAACGTTATTATCTAGCTTACAAAAATGAGGGGTTTGATCTATATGTTCAGTATTTGGTAGTAAATGTTCGTGATATTTTATAATAATCAGTTTTTCAAGATCAGTTTTAAGCCATCTGAATAATTGGGTGCAAATTTTTCACTACCTCTCCTTTAGAGAGTAGAGTGCAGGCAATTCTTCACTGCAAGCTATCACAAGTTGTAATGCAGATACGTAAGGCAATTCAGCCTCAGTACTGGCTGTTGTATTGTTTTGAGAAAGAATTCCAGGTTAAGTAACTATGCACCTTGTCCCTGTGATTATTGTACATTCAGATGCAAGGCTTGTAGCAGTCAGAAGCATAGAAAAGCCTTTTTGTTTATTGTATTCGTGGAGTACATTTGTGGCCTTACTTTAACCTTGTGTGCTATTACTGAAGAGCTGTCAAAATGTTAAGCTATGCATAGGGACAGATCCTTTGGAGATACAAGTCGTTCATCTTAAAAACAGTCCAAGTAAATTGATTTTTACAGTAACTTCAGAAGTTTACAAATGGTGATATTTAAATATTTGTGTATTTCTCTCTGCTTCTGATGGACAGGTGAAACCATCTCAGCTTGTTGATTATTTACAGCAGAAAAAAAACGAAGGCTACACTATTATTGGTGTGGAGCAGACAGCTAAAAGTTTTGATCTTACAGAATATTGTTTCCCAGAGAAGTCACTGTTACTGCTGGGGTAAGAACGTGCACTTTTTTGTAAATCTACCTCTTGCAGTCCATCTCTTCTACTAGTCAGTTTGGTCATGTGAAAATCAAGTGGCAGTGGTGAAGGTGGATTTAGAATGGGAAGTGATTATGGAGGAAGCACAGCTTGGCTTTGTGTGCTAAGGAGTAGGTGGTGTTGATATCTACTCCTGAATGATCCTTCTTCTCAGACTTAATGTGCTATCCATACACTATAACTACTTTTATGAGTGGAATTAGCAACAGCATGGATTGTAGTTTTCCTGGTGTGACAGAGGTACCATCAGTTCACTTCGGTTGTTTGGGGTCCTGTGCTCAGCAAGATGGGGGCTGCCTGTTTGCCCTGCTTAACATGGTGAGGACTGGAGCTGAGTGGAAGCATGCATAGCTGGGAGATGCTTTAAAAATCAAGGATGAGGCACGGGACAAAGTAGAAGGTTTCTGCAGTACAAGCAGAAGCTGGGACAACTGAGAAAACCAATTAGTTCCTATAGGCAGGCAAGCCTTAGATGTGACAAAGGCTACTTGAAGAAATGTAGAGGAAAGTGCCTGCAAGTCAGAAAGCTGCTGGAATTGCAAGGTTACTGAGTGAGACCAGGAAGAAGGGCAGAAATACCAGGTTTTCAAACCTTTTTATATGTAGCTTGTCTTCAGAATGTAGTTTCCATAATCACTTTGTTCTCTTCTCATTAAACCCACAATTTTAATTACCGATAACCTTTGGTAACTTCTAGAGTGCTCACTCTGAAGAGGTGAAACATTTCCAGTTCAAGGCTCCAATCAGTCTCAACATTCCCTCATACCAAGACCTCACTGAATGTAAAGTGGGCAGTTAGAGCTTCCCTGTTGTGCCAGCAGCTTCATGCCCAGGTTGTTTCCTTTACAGCTGTTCATTAGTTTCAAAATAAAGGCAGAGAGGGAGTCTTTAATGTTGGGTGTTCAGCTGTTGCTGGACCGGTGAACTGCATTTTTTTCTGACATCAAAGCTTAGTCAGGTCTCCCGTGTTTTCTTCTTTATTAGAAATGAACATGAAGGAATCCCAGCAAACCTGATTCACCACCTGGATGTCTGTGTGGAAATTCCTCAGCAGGGTATCATTCGATCCCTCAATGTGCATGTAAGCGGAGCTCTGCTGATCTGGGAGTACACAAGGCAACAAGTCATCAAGCAAAAACAGTAAAAATAACTGCGAAGAGTTCTGTGCCTTATAGTACAGATGGGTGACTTCCTATGGTGCTACAACATGAAATTCTGAATAGAGAGACACAAACTCAGGGTGAATGAGGATTCTTCAGTTTTGCATGTTTTGTTCTCTATAATGTTCAGACTGACTTCTAAATGCCTTAACACTATACCTCCTTAAATAAAACTGTTGCATTGGAAATAAATACTATTTATATTGCATGTGGTGTGTGGGATTTTTTTCTACTATTAAAACATCAGTAAAGTATGTGAAGAATCCCAAACTCGTAACATTTTTTACTGCAGTTACTTCAATTGTGATGACCATGCTTGAAATGAAAGTGGCGCCTTCCTATAACCTCAATCAAAACCCACTGTAGCCAAAGCATTTTATGCCTCCAGCATGTTTTTGAAGGTAAATTCACTGACATTAAATACCACCCCATGCATTGGGTCTTCTAATAGCTGCTGTTCTATAAACTGATGTCTGTAACGACAAATACAAATTATATTATACCATGACCTCCTTTTGACAAGTTCTGACAACTGGGAATGGACTTTTTATCTTAAGGAAAAGCTGGTTAACTTAGTGAAAAACAGTTTTATTGTTCTCTTCAGAATTATGTATGTTACACTATTAAATAATCATTTATTCCCATGAAGTGATTTGACTAATTACACATTCAAAACCTTAATTTTTGAACAGCCCTGCACCGTATTTCTTGACTTATTCTCATTAACCAGCTGGCCACGACGATCTTTTTCCAGCAAACACCTGAGACCTTGCAACAGGAGCAGCAGCGTGCATTTCAGGAAGACATTTGGGTTACCAGTTCTTGAGCTGAAGCAGCTTCTGTCACTTTCTCGTGCTTTTTCCTTCCAGTTATTCTAACTAGATTCATTTTGAAAGCAGAGTAGCTAGGACTTCCCAGCAGCTTCTGGAGGATGATACCCTTCTGTTTCCAGCTTCTTTTTATATTTTAAAAAGTCTCTTCTTTTGTCAAAATATTTGACCTGTTTAAAAAGAGAAAAGATATTTGGAATAAGCTGGTGGAGAAAGGGGCTTTGTGCATCACAAAAAGAATATGGAATAGGCTTTCATTACCAAACTTGAGGAGGATTTTAGCTCAATACATTAGCTAGGAGCTTCTGGTCTGTTGAAGAAATGAGAGTGAAGTTTTTGTTTTGTGGATTTTTTTTACCATTTTGAAAGTGAACTTCAGTTTCCTGCCATAAGCACCCCATTACTTCTGTAAGCACCTAATAAAACCAGTCTATTGCTTTGGTATTTTCACTGCTATGAATAAATGTTACTTGTAATGCAAAGGTAAATCCAGCAGCTTTTCTATATGGTATCACATACTATGCAACCTCTGAATTCATTGCCTAGAGCCACTGATGTGCATGGTGTAAAGCACTGCATGTGAAACCATCATTACTAGAGATGACATACGGCAGAACTGCAGTGTTCAACGAGTTAATCAGTACAGCAACTGTGAATGTACTTTGGTTTTTGTAACTGACTTCAGTCTGTTCAGCCCCTCAGACACTGCTGTTAGTAAAGAGCATTTTAAAAAGTTAAGAACTACAGCTTGAGCTTAAGGAAACTAAACAACCCAACATGAATGGGTTACATGGAAGCCAATGGTTTACTGTGAAGTTATGCTGCAGGAAGAAGGGTACTTCTATGCACAAGGTATCAGATGCCAGTCTTAAGATGCCATGCAAGTGCAAGCCCTGTGTGTGTCTTCCCTTCTGTATTTGCCTTTCCTCTTTAGTAACTTCTGTGTACTCCCACAGGCTTCCGAGTATCTTTCTGAGCTTTTTTAACTAACAGATAAGCCTTTACACTTCCATAGTGGGTACTTATCTGAAAGCTTGAGATGGGTGTTTTCCCTTCCCTTTATACCATGCGCTTTAATCTACTTTTCACAGCTCCCGGGCTAGTCAGTGGTCCGCTCAGGACTTGTAATTTCCCTGCAAGACCAAAAGCGTGCAAACCAAGTTATGTTTTGAAGGGTGCAG